TGGTCTAGACCTCTAGGCCATGCCGCAGCGCCCTTAGTCTATGTTTCGCACCCGTACAGCGCCGCGCTCCAAACATGCACCTTTAACAATTATTTACAGTCCACAAATTTTAAATATATGGGAAATATATTTTGGGCTCAATTTTCGTAACAAATAAAATAATTTAATGGAGACGAATAGTAGGTATTATCTAATCAGGTTATCATACATTTATTTTTAAAAATAGTAATAATAAGATGGGAAAAATCGACTATGGTAGAAACCATACCGTTGTAGTTTGTATTTAATATTTTTTTAATAAACAAGTTTTAAAAGCTGTCCAAATATACTTAAATATTAATGTTTAGAAAAAGGTATTTAAAGTAGAAAACAGAAACAGGTATTTTATGTTTGGCAATGACTATAATCGCACTTAATCACTAATGTGGTACGGGGAAGGAGATACACAGTTGATAAATTAATTTAATGCTAGTTAAATCCAACTTTATATACATAAAACCCCAATACACAGTACCTACGAAATCGGCAAATATACCACAGCGATGTTATACAAGATCAAACTAATTTGCATACATTCATCTATTTCCGTAAATGTCTGGCAAATACAATTAGTTACTGATACACCCACTGTTATTTGGTCTGCTCGCTCCCAATTAATTTTATATTTAGTATCAAGTAAAGGTATATTGCTAAATTCTCTTACAATGTAGTTATCATGTGTCTAAATCGTTATATTTAGGACAAAGAAATATTTCTATAAAATTACCCTCTTTGTTCAAGACACTAAATAAATAGAAAATAAAAAGGGGTTAAAATTTCTTTATAAAATCGCCCTAACATTTCGATTAAAATAAAATATAGCCAGTGTAAATAAAATCAGTATATTTTTGTAAAGAAGGGGTTTATAACAACATCTTAAGAAAATAAACCTAAATTCGTGCAGTCTGGATATGCCGCTAACAAAACACGAAATACGACATATTGTTACTACCAACAAGGATGCAAAGGTTGAAATATACTATACATCAAACACCAGAAAATTGAAATCTCCTTCAAGAATTCAACGTTGAACTATGTATTCAGATCTTACAAAAGATTCATCTCGTACATGAGCATAATGAAAGTAATGAAAAATTTGTGAGAAAATGAGTGAAAGAACTGTGAGCAATCCCAAGTTTTTTATATTGGACAGGCTTCTTTGACGAATATACCTGTACGTTACGAGTTATTTGAATTCTAAAATAATGAGAGAACAGCATTCGCAGTCTGCATTGTGGGTCTATTTTTTCTAACGCATAATTTAACTCAATTTGCTTAGAGACTTAATCTACCCACGCATTGTGGCGATTCTTGAAAATAAGAATCACGTTATTGAGAATTATGTATTTGTTAAACAGGATAAGAGATTTTGAATGTTTAAAAGAATGTTAAACAGGGATTTTATTATTGGATAGAAGTAAATGGTTTACAATTTGAGCTTTTAATTAATTAAAGCTTGGTTGAGAGCTTTCTGTTGTCTCATTCCACCTACGTTTCTAATTAGGTTTTCACCTTAATTATACAGAACCTTTCAAATGATGTCACTTCTTGATCTACCAGCCACCTTGGCGGCCACCCCCTCTACAAGTATGACTTAAATCCATGAATAGAAAAAATGTCCTTTTTGAGGACAAAATCGACGTGTATCACGGATATCTGAAATAAAATCCGATGGTTTTAAATACCCTGTCACCCTGTACAGATTTATAATACTATAAAAGTCGATCAAACCCAAAACATTTCTGCCCGACCTTGTCCTTGTGGATAAGAAGCATTTGGTAAAGATTTACCTAAATCTTATTTATAAACTTCGTAGGCCGTTGTAAATACCTATTCGTTTTTCCAATCTTTAAGGAATAAGGTTTATGTTTAAAAAGAAATAAGAAATAAAAGGCTAAACCTTTAAAAGTTAACTTGAACGGTCTGGATGGATCTGTTTACCTTTTTCCCGAATTACAAAGGGACAGCTATACTTCTATCGAAAACCACTTTAAAAAGTAAAAAAAGAGGATGGTAATACTTTGATCTTTACATCAACATCTGTCTGATACCAAAATAAGAAAAAACGTTAAAATGCTTTTGTTAAAAAGCCTTCTTCTTGAAAACTTACATTAGATTAACGGTAATGAAAAATGAAGTGTGTCTGATGTTTTTGTTTTTTATTATTGTTTACTTTGAATTTCGATATCTTACACGGAGAAAACGAAATTTTTATGACAACGCAAAAATATACAATTTCCGATTGTAAATGAGTAAATGTAAAACTTGTAATAATCACAATTTGACATGTTTTTTTAAAAATTATTTCAAGTTTTTTAATTATTACAATTTAATTTGTAAGATCAAGTAAAATACCTAGTAAATTTATTTCTGCTGGGATTTTATATTTACAAATTCGGATCCAAATTGTAATTTTTATTATTTTCCCTTACAAAGCAACGGACTAGTGGGATAAATTGTAAAAAGTAGATCGGTGTGTTATTTATGTAATTCAAAAACTATTTGTTGTTAACCGTGTGAATCTCAAAGATCGCCTCTGATTTCTTTTATTTACTATAGAAAAATTATTCATTAATAACCAGGTCGAAAGTTTTAACAAACCTTTAAAAATTAAAAGGAAGACTCGCCCCTAATTACCACAAAAAAACTTTATTTGAGCGGACACGTGTTGCGCCCACTTCATACGTGGGCATTATCAACGCGCGACTCAGTTTAATTTTTGATTAAAACTTTACCACAGTCTCCTCTTTCTGCTTTTAACATCCCTAATGGATTAATAACAGCATTATGTATGGTATAATATTAATAAAATAAGTACATGCAATAAATTAACTATTAATCCAGACAATCAAAAAAGCAATAAAAGTGAGTTCCTATCCCACCATTCACCAATAATATCTAACCAAAAATTAATATCCTGATGCATCACACACCAGAAGGAAACAACATTTACTTTTACGTTTACCTTTTCCTTATTTCTTGAAATAAAACTTGATGAGAAATCATTTACTTTATTATTTAAACAGTTTTCAACATCTGACTGAAACAAGTGATATTTCTTAATAAATATTTTAGGTTTTGTTGATGTTACTGACATTTCTTTTTTTTTTTTTTTTTAATTATTCCTTTGTCTTCCTCTTCTTGACATTTCTGTTATATGAATTTCTTATAAAACAAAAGCCGAAAACTTATTATCTCTGACAAAATTTTTTGCATCCTTGCTCAGAATCCTGTATGTCATATACGTTCAATTTGTGAAACGTTTGCGAACAAAATCCCCGTAAAAAAAATAAAAAGAAATCCTTAGAAACGATACGACACAAGACTGTCTTTTCCAGGTAAGTATATCATATTTTTACAAAATAAACAACGTATCAAAACAAACTATCTATATTACCACCTACTTTACTTATATCAGATAACATATATTAAAAAATGTAAAAAATAGGTAAAGTTTGCATTTAGAAATACTTAGATAGTTAATTATTTAAATTTCTCGTATTGACAAAAATTAAAATCTTTCTTAAAAAAAATAAACCGCCAAAAAAGAGTATTGTTGGAACTCAGAACCAAAGGCTCTATAGTTAGGAAAATGTCTTTCGCACAACGTTATAAGCTAATTCGTTATGGAATATTCTCAATTTACCCAAAGCTATAATAAATTAAATTATAAGTCTTAACTCTTTTATAATTTAGACGAAAAAATACGATTTTAAAGATTTCACAATTTTTTAGTTACTTGCTACATGTTTCGCCAAACATAAAAAAGTATGTGATTCTTTATATTGTATTTTTTCGTCGATAATATCGATTTTCATCGAATACAAAGCCGAAACTCTCAACTTTGATAACTGCAGATGCCACAAAGAGTACCATCAAAACCATTGTTGTCGAATAGACTTAATACATACTACACTGCATAATTTGTGATATCTTTTTATGCAATTATGCTAAATGTTATTTGAAGGGAGAACCTCTAGCGCAAGATACATGTAGTTTATATTACATTAAAACTTAGATCTTTAGAGTAGTCATAAGTGAACGATGCTTTATTCGATGACCCATAACTAGAGATGTTAATCGGTATTTGACGGGTAAATTTACCGTAAATTACCGGTAAAAAACGCGTCAATGACCGAGCGTATTTTACCATACCGGTTAGAAAAATGTTGATCTCTGATTGATTAATATATATCCAATCACAGTTTAAAATTCCCAACGACATACAACTAGAGATGTTAATCGGTATTTGACGGGTAAATTTACCGTAAATTACCGGTAAAAAACGCGTCAATGACCGAGCCTATTTTACCATACTGGTTAGAAAAATGTTGATCTCTGATTGATTAACATATATCCAATCGCAGTTTAGAATTCCCAAATACATACAACTAGAAATGTTAATCGGTATTTGACGGGTAAATTTACCGTAAATTACCGGTAAAAAGCGCGTCAATGACCGAGCCTATTTTACCATAGCGGCTAAAAAAATGCTACTCTCTGATTGGTTAATATATGTGCAATATATTCAATTTGTAGATAAGGATTTTCATTGGTATAGATGCAAATGACCGGTAATTTACGGTAATTACGCTGACCGACGCGACGGCTTGACGGTAAATTTCACATTCAAAATTTTGACGTCAGAAACCGGTAATTTTACGCGGTAACGACCAAATTTTCTATTACCAGTAAATTCACATCTCTACCCATAACCATCAATCCTTTTTTTACCCCAAATGTAAAAGCAGCGTCTACGTAAAACCCATTTATGCCATTGTGTGGAACCGCACTTAACCAAAAAAAAGTTTCATACATCCCAGTTTGCTACTGTTTTATGCAGCAAATGTTGCTTTCACAACAACGCCTAGGTGCTACCCACAACTACGTACCTACGTTTTTACGGATAATTTTTCTTGCTCGCTTTTCCACGTAATTAGTGTAATTAACCCATATTTCAGGTTGATGCAGAACCGGCGGCTCGTTACTTCCGTTGGAGCTTTAACAGCACCCCGGGGATTTCTCGTATCCTGAAGGAGCATACGGCAAACGCTGGCCTAAGCATTCTAACGTATCAGCCAATGTCCGCATCGGATTACGGTACAATCCAATGCTGGGGAAACAACGAATTTGGAACACAACGAGCACCCTGTATATACCATATTGTACCAGCCGGAAGGCCTGATCCTCCCAACGGCTGCGTTGTTGCCAATATCACACATCATAACGCTAACATAACATGTGTTAAAGGTACGTATTAATCTAACAACTTAGCCATTACACGGGGTATAGTTGGTAAAAAAATTGTACTGCATTTGAGTATGCAACCAAGAGAAAAATAAAAAATTTCACCTAGTAAATTTGTTAAATGTTCTGACATCGCAGCCTTTTAAATTAAACTTTTATTGCCCTTTTAAAACAAATTTTTTCATCATGATTGTACCGAAAAATTCCGAAATGAAACTACAGAATCACAACATCAAGGCAACATAGTTCCACAAGCCAAATCAGTAATATATGCATTGTTAAAAATTATAGGCTGTAAAATCTAAATAAGATAAAGAATAATTGTTTTGCAATTATTCAAATACTCTGAATTGAATTGATGCAAATTAACAGCTCGTATCAAACGGTTAGAGATATGACCTTGAAAAAAGCTGCGCGATTAGAAAGAATGCACGTTAGGCGTGAACAAGATAAAAATAGCTTTAACATGATAAAATATAACTGAATTTGGAATTTTGTCACGGCGCATCTAGGTAAAGGGAAGAGGCATCTGTAACCTTTTGAAATGAATTTAAAAATGCCTGTATATTTATTTGGATTTTAAAATGATCTTGAATAGGTAAAAGCCGAAATATTTTATTATTTTTTATGTGTGTGTAAAACAATAAAAAAATTAGTGAACAACCCAGAAAATATTTTCCAGTACAAAACTTTGGCATCGAGAATTTTATAAGTACTTAATGTTTTCCAGGAAATTTTGGATACCTATACAATATTACGTTGTTTTAGTTAGTTAATTTCGTAGTTAGGTAGTTCTTAACTAAGTTAAACTGTAAAGAAAAACTTTCCAATAATACAAACATTTCAGAGAAGAAAACTGAAACTTTTCACTTACATTTCAGCCTCGATTTAAACCACAACACATTCTAAAGTTTCAATGGTTTTATAAGTTTAAAAAGATTAAACATGAAGTTAAAATTGTGTGACAAATAGTAAATTAGAAACAATAAGTAAATACCGCAAAGTAATTCCTAGTTTTATCTAAAACATAATCATAAATGAAGAAATTGCAATACGAAAATGACATTTGTATGCGAAATCCAGTAAAGAGTAGGAGACAGCAATTTTTTATAAAACAAATGAAAAACAATGTTGTGTGTGAAGTTTGACGAATATCACACACATAAATATATTGACAATATAGGCCCGTTATATAACACTCTACTAAGAATATTAAATAGCAAATACATTATGACATATAAACAATAAAATTGAAATAAAATTTAATAAAAATAAGAACGGATTAAATTCTTGGTGAGTAATTTATTGAAACTTCTACACGCGGGTTGCAATTTATATCTTATTTGATCTCATCAGCACGCCACGTATAGTCTCAATGCCAAAATTGCTCCAATAAGCATGCTTATATAATATCGAGACAATAAAAATTTAATTATTGTTTAGGTTTTGATGGTGGTCTAAAGCAAAAATTCATCATGCTGGTAAAAGTAGGCGACACCGAAATTACCAACATAACGTCAGCAAGTACAGATTTCGAAGTTGGTAATTTGGACGCGGCCACCGAGTACACATTCGTCGTTTTCGCATTAAACGCGAAAGGATGGTCGAAAAGTGGAAGCACCTTAATGGCGAGAACACTTGCTGCGCCTGGTTTAAAAGAATTACGAAGATCCACCGTCCAATCTAAAGAAACGAAACTGAAAGGACCGTGGATGTATATTCTCTTAGCCGGTGGATCAACGCTAATAGTTGCAGGATCTATAGCGATAATAATTTTTGTTGTGAGACGATTTAAAGTCGACAGCCCCGTTAGAGAAAGGAGGAGAAGCCCGAAAAGAAATGAATTATCGCTAGGACCTTCGATCCAGGGTTTTACTGATGCCGGTACCGATGATAAAAATCCTGATTTAATTCCCCCTCCCGCCAACGGTAGGTAATAAAGTTTTCTTTTACTACTTGGTATTTTTATTGTAAAAACTGTTATTTCACAAATACATTTTATTACCATTTTTTTTTTGGGTCCTAAATAGGGCTGCCGTCACCTAAAGTCTACCCAACTTTCACTAAAATATATTTCTTTTCCAACAAGAATGCTCGGGCGAGCACGCAGCGCGGGTGAACAGGTGGGGGTCTTTGATCGTCGACTATTTTGTCATGCATTCTTGAATTAGGGATTATTATGAATGAATTTTTAACTATGATTTATTTTAATTTATCGCTTAACTATAAAAAAAATTTGGATTTCCCCTGACAACAAAAGTGTCAATACAAAGTGGACACTTTTTAAGAACCCCTGCCGGACGGCCCCGGACGCCCTTCAAACTAGGACAAATGCAGGAAATCCCAGACGGATGGCAGCCCTAGTCCTTAACAACTAAAATTTGACTGTCCAGGTGTATGTTGGCTGAAAGGTTTGAAATTGAAAATTGCATTTTTATCATGAATGCTGGTTGATATTCGTCAACAGTTCAGAAACTTTTAGTAGATTTTTTAATACTTTGGTGTTCCAAAATCTAACTATTCTTCTAGTAGAACGGCTGCAACAATGTGATCAATCGCTTTTACGTACAGAAGTATGTAACTGTTAAAATATTTCGCAAAATTATAAAATTGTTTCACACTTTTTTAAATTTTGGAACATTTCTATTTATCTAACGTCATAAATTACCCCCTGCTCATTTCTTTTTTTTCCTTGTAATATTTGGTTTAGTGGACCTATGGATTGACGAAATTGATCAGAGCTTTTGTTAATCTATGAGGAAGTATCATCCAAACCAGCCCTAAGAATTTTGAACTCAATATGCTTTTGAAAACCTTCATCATTAACATTGAATGAAATGAAATTTTACCAAATAAATTATTCTCTACAAGCCCTTATTTTCATGGTTTTAATTTTACTTGTAGAATATTAATATGTACTATATTAAGCAATTAATAATAACGGGCATAGACGAGTTGCACCCCGCAGTCAGTCCCTCCCATTCCAAAAAGGTAATGGTATAGTTGCGCCCCAATCTCAATTTGTGTATAATATGTGTACATATGGTCGTCAGTCCTAAGACTGATTGGACACGTACCTCCACTCTTTCCTATCCTGACCTAATCTTCGCATTTCCTTAAAACTAGAACAACCCACATCCTTAACTATTTACGAACAGTAATCTAACCTAGGTCTACCTCTACCCCTCCTAACTCCTGTTTCTGCCTCTAATATGTCTCTGACTTGACCTTCATGTCTGAGAAGGTGTCCTACTAACCTATCTCGCCTATCTTTTTTTGACTTCCATAGAGTTCTCTGTTCTCCTATTCTTTCTAATACCTCTTCATTTCTAACCTTTTCTACCCACGTTATCCTCATCATTCGATATTTTGGTATATAAGATTATTCTTATATACGTTACAGGACTGAGTGGCATGGCCTAGAGGTTTAAACCATTGCTTAGTATTCGGGAGGTTTGATTCCGGGTCCGTCTGCCTTGGTCCAAGTTTTCTGTGGTTTCCTTGGATCACTTAGGCACATAGATAATCTTTCATTCTCTTCTGTCTTCATTTTGTCTGTTTCATCTTTCTCACCAGAACCACCACCCACCCATTCCCACGATTCCTGGCTGGTGGGAATGAAACAACCAAAAGTTTTTTTTACCTTATAGGGTGAATCGGCCTGTTTGCTTTAGTTTTCGATCACTTCTAAATGCCAATAATAAGTAAAAAAGACAAACCAGGCTATTAATCTGGGTTCAAATGACCGTGGGGCGCAACTGACCTAGACCAGTAATAGCTAATAATGTCATATCAAAAGAAACAATTAACAACCTTTTGCTGTAGAAATTTTCTACAATTTAGCAATGTATGTCATCGTCTTTTTGAGTTTCTTGTAGCAATCAATATCTGGCAACGTACAATAATATAGATAACGATTTACCTATTAATATTTTTTACTACAACAGATATTCTTTATAAGTTTCCCATAAAAATAAAAACGGGACACGAAAGAGAAGGATATCTGGTTTTTGTTTAATGAAATGGCCTGTTGACAGTATTATTGTAAAATAAAGATGCTTTTACAGATATTTACGACAGGGGAGTTTCGCTACTTCGTTAAACCCAGTTTTATAGGGCAGTAAAACTCTTTCGCGAGGTGCCGTGACAGTAAATAAACTAAGATGCGAGAGAAGTGTTAGGCAAAATTTCTACTTTGTCTTTCAAACAGGAAAACGTTCAGTGCAAGATATTAAACATTGCACATAAAAGTATATAAAGGAACAGTTCATAAACGGTTGCTCTTAATAGAACTTTTCATCAATAACGCAGTTCTTACTAATTATATTCGTTAGGATAGATGATAATCAATAAATAATAATTCTTCATTTATGCAATAACAATTCTACATATAAAGATTAAAATGGCTACTGTTTATTCTGATGCTTATCGATTTATATCAGAAAATTTAAAAAACATTTTACAATCATCTGTCTTGTTAGATACAATTAAGAACATTCAGAAGGTATTGTCGCAAACAAAAGTATAAATTAATGAAATATAGGCTTGATCTATATTATTGATACCTTTTTATCTGATCTTCATAAGGTCTTCAGCTCAGAGACTGGTTAGATACGTAGTTCTAATTATTCCTATCTTAAGACAATCTCAAATTTTTCTAATACCTACAAGAGCACAATCTAAATCGATTGGATTAGATTAATGCCTTATGCATATCTGTCACCTTAACTCCTGTTTCTGCTTCTAATATGTCTAACTAACTTATTTCACTCATTTCTGATTGACTTCTATAGAGTATTCTGTTCTCCTACTTTTTCTAATTCCTTCTCCTTTCTAACGTTTCTATGCACTTTATTTATTTATATCCTCATCACCCGTAACTTTTTTTTAGCATAGCATCCTCGTTTTACATCCTGCTCTGTTTTATATCTGTAGCGATTCTTCCTAACTGACTCCCTAAATATCGAAAATCGACTTCTTCCAGTTTTTCGTCTACTATTTTTATGTTAAATCTTGGCATATTTTAACATACATCTCTTACAACTATACATACCAACATTTTATATTTATTTAAACATACTGTTGTATTGTTCCTGCATGCCTATCCCAAAAGCGATCTAGCCTTTTTAATAATAACCGCATCTTAGATATACAAATTAGTTATCAACGGTGAGAATATACGTACATCCCTGTGTAACTCCCTTCCTAATATTTACTTCCCTGCGATGGTGGTTAAATTCTATAACGACCTGTTGCTCTTTATATGTCTAAACTAGGTGCATATCAGTCTTCTACGCCTATATCTCAACCCTACATTTTTAAGTATTTTTAGCGCCTTTTTAACATTATCAAAAGCTTTTTCTAGATCAACAATCACTTAAAAAACAGTATCAAATTGTTACATATGTAATTATAACTTTTTATTTTCATAAAAAATTCTTTATAATCTTCAATTTCTGTGATATACTTGCAATTGTTATAAACAAAACTTGATCCATTTACCATTTTTGTAATTGGATTAAAAAAAAGGATAATATAATAAAAAAAGAATTTCATTTTGCAGTAATTAATAGTAATAGCAATCTTTCAACAAATCCCCACTAACTCAATGCTTAATTAATTAATACGGTTTTGTATAATTATTTAGAATCATTAGCACCTACTCATCAATCAAAATTTATGACTTACCTTTGTCGTTATCTATTGGGTATTATGTGACTATAAAAAATAGTCCACAGCAATACCAGACATCATTTTTATTATTTCGTGCTTCTATTGTAATAAAAAAAACACAATTCTTTGTAAAAGTCAGTACAATTTGATGTTAGATATTTATCGTAATTCACAATTTATTTTTGATTGACGCTTAATATTAAACAGAAATTTAGGTATAGGATGGTATGAATCGCATACTAATTTACATTTATATTTTTCACCACGCTAATACTTTCTTTGTTTATTCCGGTCCATATTATAAAAGAAAGGATTTCTATGCCCATCACGCTATACTCAGAAAGTTACATAGACACTTTGTATGGCAACACGAAAAATGTACGTTTAATATGTATTTCAACCTGCCACAAAACTGAAGGTAGAAACGGTAGCCCGAGGCACCTCATTTTGCTCTTTCATTACTTTGTGTGCTACTGTTTATAGGCTTTTGTTTTTTACATACTACGCGAAATTACATTGGGTTTAGCGTTATTATGTTTTTTTCCGCTGCATTCGTTTAGTAGTAATTTAATATTTTTTAGTTTATACATATATAAAAAGATCAAATCATCCAAGTTACGTAATTGGCACAATATTGTCTGTATTTTGTTGTTTATTGGGCAGGGTCGAATTGGTACCCAAAAGTAACAGGTAGGTATAAACCGAAGGAGGAATCATAGGGGTTGCTAAAGAGATTAAATTATATTTATGGATGTAATAAAAATAAAACAGATAATAAACATAAGTGCATCTACCTATTAGATAAAAGGTTTAAGTTGTCGAGTAGAATTTACGAAAAGTGTACGCAGTAAAATTATGTTAATAATTACGGACGGTTATAAATTTTATACAAGATTATGCACGAGAAATTTTTACTGCAAGGCATTTGTAAAAACAATGATCCTAAAGAAATTTATTATGATATTGTAGATTAATTATAACCATTATAAAATTTCCGAAATGTTACAATATTGACCGAAAGTGATCAACAGGCTAATACGAAAGCTGTTGACGAACCTGGAAAAAGTTGAGGACTTAGCATACGGAAAGTTCCCAAGGAGATTGTAAGTCTCCTATATACACTAGACCACAACTGTGCCCCAAATTAATTTGACACAGTAATTTCTGTAGATTATAAGTAAAATAAAAAACTGGATAACTGAATTTACTATTGGATTTAATAAACTTTAGAATTTGAATTACAACAACGAAATACAAAAAGGGAATATTGATAAAGACAAGATGTTGTGCGTTCGACAAGGGTCGCTACCCGAATGCTATTAGTAATGGCAACAACATTTGTTCCTCGTAACCAGCACATGCATACACATAAACAAGACATCTGAAATGTACGTAAACCTAGGAATTTCCCGTGGTCGAAACTACCGCCCGACCGGATGGAACCGGACAAAAGACTCATAAACCCTAGCCCGATCGGTCAATTTTATGACCTGCCTACGTGCAAAATGCGATGTTATAATTCTCAGAAAGCTGGTTACAAGAATCGAATGAATGCTGTCTTTTTCCTATACTAATACCGACTATTATTTGTCGGTTTATTTGAAATAACTTAAAATATATGAAAAAATATATAAATGAAATTATTGCGACAAACCA